TTTCAGATCTATAATTAAGATCAGATCTCAGCTTCCTCCAGGGGATTAAAGCCTGACTTGGGAAAAATAAGGTTATACTACAAAAGACTGACAATATCTTGCTAACTTATACAGGCAGAAATTTGAGCATTATTGTGGGAATGGAACCAGAGGTGGATAAAATATTACAAAAATTTAATTGTATAGACTTGGATGCACTTATCAGGAAGTATGGATTGAACGTTGGCCCACCCAGTTGGAAAGGAGCTCTAATAGTTTTCTTATGTATGCATTTATATACCTAAGTACATACTTACAGATGTGATTTCACTAAATCCAATGAGTTGAGATGGAATTTCCTGGGGTAATGTAGAGAAATAATCTGCAGATTTAGGAATATAAAGAACATGTGTTTATGCATGGCAGAGATACCACCCACATCGCCTGGGGTCCAGGCGACCATCTCTTCAGTGAGATATTAAGAAAACATCCGTGAAGGGAGCGCTAGCAATTGGGAAAAGCACTACAGCATCTCTCTTCCCAAACCTGGAGGCTGCTGTGGAAGACGCTGGCGTGGAGAGGGGTTCGTCAGAAAGAGCCAACAGGTTAGATTTCAGTAGAGGGAATTTAACCTGGGAATTGATTCCACCAGTGTTGGAGGGCTCAGTGAGGGTGAGAGGTCATTCACTGAGGTCATTCAGAAACAGCTCAGGAAGCAGCTGCCACCAGCAGGGCTGAGGGCAGAGAGGCGAGGGTTACAGACCCACAGTTTTGAAAGCAGCACCTGGGAGGCTGGAAGTCAGGTCTCGAGGGGCCTTTGGGAGGCTGGCAGCGAGTCCTGGGGAGCTCAAAGAATATGGAGGCTAAATCAACCCCTGTGAACACACTGCTGAGATGCGCCCAGTAGGGACAAACTGGAGGGAAGGAAGTTTCTTCCTTTCTCCTCCTGATTCCTCTTTTCCCCGAGTCCCCTACTGGCCAAAGCTGGTAGCCGGACAACTAGTAAGCAAAAATTGTTTGTAGACTTCTCGCTCAGTAACACAAAGCAGAACAGAGAAGAGTGGATTTGGAAATGAAGAACAGTAGCTTAACACACACAAAACACGCCTTATCCCTTCTACCTTGAAAGGTAAACCTCAAGACAAGGACTTGATGGGAATCTCTCCCCTTGTCAGAGCTACATAGGACTCAGTAAATCTTTGTTGAACACCATGGATGATGTTATGATATCCTTGTGACAACACAATCCATTTTGGACCTGACTTAAATGTTTATGACAACAGCATTCAATCAGTGTTTTGTGTCCCTAATTAGAAAGTTTCTTCCACTCCAAGCAGGCTCACTTAGGAAAGTCCTTTCAGGACAATAGAGCCTACCTTTGTGTAAGTGGAGTGGCCTCTTGGTGTCACAGGTTTAACGAAAAGAGGTGCTGAGAGCAGCTCAGCTGCTTCTGTAAAATGTCTTTTTAAAAAAATCATTGTTAGGAGGCAGGGATCAGCTTCCATGGCAATGTGAAGATTCTGAAGAGTTTGCAGATAAAAGAAGATAGGCACCAAGAAACTTTCAAGGTCTTTCTAAAAATAACCCAGGAATCAGTACAAAAGAGAATTTGCACCTATCCCAACTGTTTTAATCAAATAAGTCTAACAGTGAGGGGTTTTGTTCTAAGAAGTTAATGGTAGTTGAGTGATTGATAACAGATCACTGGAGGAATGGCCAAAATACAGTGGTCTTGTATCAAGAGAACATAGCAACAGCAAGCTGTAAAATGAGGACAAAGAACTTCTAATAATGCAGCAGTCTTAAAATGGTGTTGATACTGCAGTTCTCAGCCCAGAATTATCTATGTCAAATTAATTAACTTCCTTAGTCTTTTTTTTTCCTAGTTTTTTTCTTTCCATTGAAATAAAATGATAATGAGCAGCACTATGCTTAAGACGTGTATCAGCTTTCTCTTTGAAATACTCAGAATTCAATGAATATCAATTTATAGTATGCTGTGCATGAAAATACTCCAACATTAAAACTTGTGCAGAATTATTTTTATTTCAATGTCAAATTCCAAAGAAAAACAACCAGAAAATGCTACACACATTTGCTTTTATTAGCTTTTATTTTTAGACTGTGGTTTTGAAACCGAATTCCAATGAGTCACATATGCTTTTGCCAACAGTGTTTCCAGAGAAAGGTTTACTTGAAACTGTATTACATTGCATTATCTTACAGAAAACAAACACTTTATAAGATGAAGCCTGATTATTGCCAAGGAGGCCAAGGCATGTGGACTACTGAGGTAATATTTCTATTGTCAAAGTACGTGTTCTCATCTCAACTTCCATTTCTGTTGGAACCAAACACCAACAGAGCTTAAGAAAAAGATGATCCATTTTCTAACCATTTCTAAAACAGAATGAAATGAAAGATCACAGAACACTCATTGAAGCAGCCAACAAAGGCTACAGAACCATAAATGTTCTGCCTTGCTACCTTGTTGGTAAGAGCAACAGGATAAAGAGATTCAAGTAGAAAAGCATATTTTAAACAAGGACAAGTAATGTTTAAGGAATGGCTAGTTTCCCTCTAGAAATCTTCAGATCTCTGTTCTCTTGGGAAGTTTAATCAATTTACATTCTACTTGTGAATGGAATGAGGCATATATTTCTCATGTTATTACATAAATCAATCTCATCCTTGGGGCTTTGAAACAGAGCTTTATCAGAGTACACTGAATGTGTGTGTCATCTCATCTTTCTGCATTACAATAAAATTGATTTTATGATTCCTTTCTCATAAATTACAGGCTGGCGGCACTCGCAGCCTGGGGTTCTGCTTGTCTTCCCCTCTCATGGGCTGGGAGTGTCGCTTGTTCTTCTCTTATGAACCACATCTACCTCTTCAAGCTTCCAATTCTGGTTATAGTTCGCAGTCTTGAAAAGAGTAGCGTGTCAGACCCAGGATATGTACTTGTCTGGTTCGAATCCTAACCTGAATACCTTTTGCATGTCACCGGAGTGAAATATTTTGTGAAAAATTAATAGTGTGCTCACCATGCAAATGAATGCTCATCACAACATGGATGCCATTACGAACTAACAGCCACAAAAATCAAACGATGTCTTCCTTCTAGCCCTCACCCTCACCCTCACCCTCACCTCCTGATGTGAGAGCAGAAACCCACAAAAACATTCAGGTTTCTGGGGGTCTGCTGGTTTAACTCAGAACAGTGAACTACTACGGTTCACCAACTGAGAAAATAAGGGCCCCCAAGCACAACTGTTTGGGCTGGTGCTTTATACCAATATCAGCAAAGTGAAATAGTTCAGCGTGGCAAAAGCAAGCAGGGTGCAGAAGTTTCATTTCTTGCTGGGCTGACTGACTCCCCTGATGCTCATACTACTTGCACACTGTTTCTCTAAGAGTATTGACCACACAATGTGTATTGTAATGTCCTTGTGTAAATACAGTGGACCCCTGACTCACGAACTCAATTGGCTCCAGAGGGCTGGTTGTAACTCAAGTTGGTTTAAGTCAATATAGCTGATATCTGGATGTTTACCTGGGTACATGCTGTAGATAACAAGAAGGAAGATGAATCTTCCATTAACCTAATTAACCCAAGTTGTTGGTATGTCGGGCTGGTTGTAACTTGAGGGTCTACTGTACATTGCGTGGCCACCAAGTCTTTGAGGGCTGAAATAACATTTTCCTAGCACCTTAACACCCGTTTCAGAGAAAGTTCTCAATAAATATTTCTTGAGTAAGCAAAACTGTTGTTTTGCCTTTGGATGATGTGTCTTACTTCTGGTACATCTGTAGAAATAATACAACTGAAAAATCTCTGTATAAAACACTCAAACCATGATAGCAGGGAGTCTGTGTGAAACAGGCTTAGATGGGTCTCCCTGGGTGGGCTGCAGGGCACATATCAAGGAGAGTGAAAAACCAGTCTCCGCAAGGTAGCCCATGGGCAACAACTTTCTTATTTTGGCCCAAGGCCAATTAAAACACATTCCACTTTTTCTATGGAGCCTTCAGTATCTATCAAACTGGCATGCAGTGCTTTTGCTTGCTTGTTTTGATTTGGGGGGCGGGTATAGCTTTTTATCTTAGAATTAGTCTAGCAGATCTTCAATATTTTATAATTCTCTTTAAATTCTCCTGCAATTACTAGTTTCCTAGACAAAACACTAAAAACCCAGCAGTCTGAACCCAGTTTTAACTAGAGAATCCAATTATGTCTTCCTGCAGTACAGTTTTCTGTTGAAGTAGCTCGGGGTATGGAGGGTAGTATCTACTGTCAGGTGCCTAAACCTTGACTCCTCCATCTTTTCAACCCAGATATCTCTACATATCCTTCTAAAGCTATTTTCAGCCTCACTTTTTTTGGCGGGGGCGGGTACCGGAGATCGAACTCAGGTCCTTGTGCTTGCACAGCAGGCGGAGAAACCACTGAGCTAAACCCCCAGCCCCTCTAAAGCTATTTTGAATAATACTGGCTGAAAAGAATCTTCGGGTAGCTGAGATTAATAATTAATTTTTCTTTTTCCAGTTGTGCTTTATATTGCTTTAATTTTTCCAGTTTCCAATTAAGGGACTTGGGCAAATACTCAAGTGAATGGAATTAGTCTAAATTCTAACTGTTTTAAATGTCAGCAAAAAAAAAAGAGGTTTTTACATGTATGGAAAAAATATTAAGAAATTATGCTTAGAATGAATAGTTCTTCTAAAGACTTGTATAAACCTTTCTTCCTGTAGGGCAGTAATTATTAAGGAGGAGGAAATTGGAGGATAGATATATATGAGATTTACCCATGGAAAATTTTCAATCTATACAGTCTTCTTCCACAAATACTAATTTCTGTTGTTGTTCTCTCCCTGGAATCAATACTGTAGTGACCCATTGTAGTGTGCCACATCCCTTTGTGTGTTAGGGTTAAAAAAGAGTTAAGAATCATTGTTTTAAGACTCACCAGTGGATAAAATATTTCCAGCTACAATGATATAAAAGCATAAGACCATTATTTGCTTAAATTACATTATTTATTGTTTGATTATCCCTCTTAGTCCTGCATGCATTGTTAGCACAAAAAGTTGAACATGATCACAACCCCCTCTGAAGACAGGGTGGATACACACCATCGGAAGAGCTTCTCCATGAGATGGCCCATGAATTTCACACCTTTGTAACTAACACTGTCAGTGACCCACACAATGTTCATAGAAAACTTCATCAACTGTCCTCTGTTTAATGTAAACAAGGCAGGAGGTCAACAAAGTATTACAGTAACACTATTTTACAGGGCCCAGAAGTATGACTAATCTATCATGTTTTAGCATATTAACTGTCACAATGACAGCACATTTCAATTTATTGTACAACCCAAAATATAATTACCATGTAATTTGTGGTTTTAGCACTTCACTGTAACTTTTTCTGTCAATACCTATTAACTTGATAATTAAATGGTAATTATATAGTAATACAATAATTTGTAGAAATGCTACCATGAATTTATAAAATAATTCCATAATTTGTGCCCTGTAAAATTAAGTGTAACAATCTTTACACTAGCAACAGTGTAAGCAAGCTAAGGATTTTGGTCCTTATATATACATATATATACACATGTACACACACAGTAATATACAATTAAACCCAAAAGCTGTGAAACCACTCACAGCTTCCATATTGCACAGAAACATTATGAAAACATTACACTGTTATATTGTGAGTACTACAGTGATAATTGGCTAAGACAAATCTGAGTTCTATGAAGTAAAGAATGTGCCTCATTACTAAAAGTAAACCCAAAGACTACACTGTTGGAAAGTTTTAAAAGATGTGCATACCTAGTTATACAAACGTGAAGCAAAACTAAATTCAGTTTGGAACCTGCTATGGCAATCAATTGTTAGGATAGCACTTTCTGCCCAACACAGTGCACTTTAGTCACTGTTCTTACAAGCAATGAGTAGAAATATTCAGCTTCGGAGAGACAGTAAGAAAACTACCAGTGATGTAGTACAATGCTTTGCTAAATTAACAAATTCAACTCAATGTAAGAACTTGTGCTGCCTCTGGGTCCAAACTAAATACGGAAAAGAGAAAAGCAAAACAAACGAAACCTTAAGCCTTAGCTGATTACATCAAAGTCATGACAGTAACTTAGGAAAACTGTATTTTCAGAAGCAGCACATACACACACACAAATATGAGTTAAAGCCTTTCTGAGCTTGGTTTCATGGATTAGCTATAAGGTTCCATTGTGAAAGTCAAAGATAAAAAGAGTATTTGGTTTGAGAGGTAACATCATTGCTATTGAGCCCATTAAGCACTGTGAAAGCATTAAGAAATATCTAATATCTCTTAATGCCTCATGTTAAATACAACCATATCAAAGTAGACTGGAGATGCTGCAGTGTTCCTTGCATAAACTGATCAACAAATACTCCAAACTAAATAATGCTTCCCATCATTCAAAATCACAAAAAGAACACCATTTAACTCCCTTTTTTGTTGTTTCATTGTTTTTACTCAATGACTTTTTTAGATCAAGCTAAGAAAGATTTGTACTCAATTAAAAATTTAGTCTTTTGTTTGAACAATGATGAGCATTTTAAAGCTGAGACTATTCATAATCTTGATATTTTGTTCTTAATAAATAGCAAAAGCTAACTATAAATCAGAAAGACTACTAAAAATGAGCAGATAAGCATAAAACGTGCCTCTGAGCACACGCCACACACTATGCATGCAACACGCCACCTGAAACGGCTTTCACAGGGCTGAGACAGCTCCTCTCAAGATGGCCCAAGATGGCACATGTGACAGTATGGGACAGTATCTCCCCCAAAACCAGTAAACAGCAAGATAAAGAGGAAAGTGCTGCTGCTTAACATTTCATTAAAAAAAAAAGGCTTTTAAGCAATATCAGGACAATAAGCATCACTTAAAGAAAGAACAGAAGGACACTCCTTGAGCAAACTCCTTGATGTAAAGTTACCACAGCCCACTGTGCGTCACACAGGGGCCAAACCAGACCATCCTGCATGTGCCTCATGCAATCACACCCAGTGTCTCAGAACCCTCCAACATGTAAACAGGACGTTTAAAAGACTGCTTTCTTTCATCTCTTTAGAATCATTTAAGACAAAAGACAACAAAATGAAATGAAAAAAAATGTAAACATTAAGAGGCCATTGGCATTCTGATTGTTGCCTTCCTGGACACGACCATGCACTTCAATAAAAAAAAAAATCAATTATGAAGAATTTCATAAAACAATTTTCAGAGAGGGAAAGAGAAAAAGAAAAGCCCTCAACTGAGTACATATTATCTTAAAAATACTATTTTAGCAAACACTACCAATGATGAACATAAATTCAATGTTGTTGCAAAAATGACAGTTTAAACTGGGACCCATAGATGAAAATTAATTACTAACATGGGTATGTGCACAAGAGAGTAAAAGAATGTTTTTTAAAAAATATATATTAATCAAGAATTTATCATATTAAATTGTTATTCTTAGAAAAGCTAAAGAAAGTTAATGCTGCTCTACACATTTTTATTTATTATAATTAACAATTCATAGATGGTTCCTGAACTATATTTTTCCTCATTTACAGTTTTAAATATTTTGTTTGATAAGAATCTAAACCTTAAAAAGTTATAAAATTAGTGACTTTTTTGCTACTTATTAATCCAAAAGAATATAAGCATTTGAGTCCCAGAGAATGTCAAAATGCCTTGCTACCTAAAAGGATGTTAAGATAACAGAAATATCTTCAAAGTCATGACCTCAGGAAGTTTTCGGCAGTTCACATAGTCATCAGAAATGCTTATTTCCTGAAGTTCCTTTGATTGTATCCTGGGTTCAGCAATGTACAAAATAGAGACCCATTAGGATAAAGCCAATGAAAACGTTATCCCACATTTTACCCAGAGTGTTCACCTAAAAGGTTCTTAAAGGTTCTGTCCAGTTCACAGCAATACTTCATGTAAAAAGCCTTTTTATCCTCTCTTGGCTGCGTGGAACCGAGTCTTTTCTGATGAAATGCACATGATAGTTCAGTTCCCCTAGTGACCTGAAAGATGTTATTTATGGTGTGGAGGAAGCATGGTATTTCACAAACGCAATTGCTGCCAGCTCCTTACAGAACTCTTCTAACACAATCACACCCTCTAGCAACGTGTTGTGGTCGATTCTGGGAAAAGCAGATGACAAATCAATTTAAGTTATAAGCAGATCACTGAATTTGGTGACATTTTTGGATAAGAGTATACAAAACAATGACTTACACAGGGCCTTCAGGTTCCAAACCAAGTAATCGCTTCCTAACTAATAGAAGCTTAGGCGTGAAGTCTTGAATACGCTGAATTCGAACCATAAGTTCTCCAACAACCTGCATCAGAGACAAGAAAGAAACTCAGTTCTTCAAATCTGCTATATAAGGATTCTCTGGTTGAAAAAAATGTCCTTCCTATCACTAAAGAACCTACTCCACAGTTTCTTTGACCAAGGATTCATCTGGTCTTTAAAATATAAAAATTATATGTATTATTTAAAAGAATGAATTTTTCTCCTTCCCCATTCTATAATAGTTCAGAATGTACAATGATCACTTTGTAGCTGCATAATATTCTCCATCATGTGACACTGCCTACACACAATGATAAGATGTTAACTGGAGGGGCTTATTGATTCTAGAGAATACAGTAGAACTAAACTTACCCTGACGATTACAGAGAAGAGGGATCTACAGCCAGAGGCAAGGTTCACGTAGGGATCCAAAAGGTACTCGTGTGTGTGTGGATGAGGGAAGAGGGACAATCTGGACAACACCGAAGTCACCTGTAAATTCACATCGTATGGCTGTGTGGAGGGAAGGACAGAAAGGCAGCTGGTATGATTTACAATGTACACATCATGTGCTTAAATTAGCACTTCAATTTGTCTTTCTATGAAAGGAAAAGACACCATTCTACTCCCCTCTCCACATGCTCTTCTGCAGTGAAAATATCTACAACTAAAGTGGTTCTCAACATCTTAGTCAAAACATGTACAGCCCAGTCCTTAAACTTAAAAAGTAAAAGACATGCATTGAAACATGTAGAAAAGACAAAGATGTGCTATAACAGGATGTTTATGGGAATCGGCTGAATTAATGAAATAGTTGAAAGTCATCAAAAACCACCAATACACCATGTATAATATTAATTACATACCACAAAGGACAAATTAGGCCTAAGACTAAAAAGATATTTCATCTTTTAAATATAGTAAAGTAGGTCTGGAAACAGTATTTCTCATCTCAGATTATTCAGTGGCTTCCAAGTACCAAAAGCATGTGTATAATAAAGTCAAATCACAGACCCTCTTCAATGGAATGAAAGAATTTCAGGAAGAAATGCCGACCCTATGCCTGGAGGTGACAAGGGGATCAGACTAAGTTTACTATTAGCAATGGAATCTGAATGTTTTATTCTCACCCACTAAGCAGCTTTGAAACCCTCCATCAAAATGAATACCAATTAGAAGTGAATCTTTGGCATTCAGAAATGCCTGGGCACATGCCAGGAGATAATCAGAGGTACTCTGATGAAAGTATGTTTTGTTACATAGACAAAATTCACTCCTAAGGGCTGGGGATTTAGCTCAGTGGTTCCACCGCCTGCCTCGCAAGCGCAAGGGCCCCGAGTTTGATCCCCGGTACCAAAAAAAAAAAAAAAATCCTAGCTCTAATTCCAAGTTTAGTCTTTCTTATCAACTATTGAGATTCATAACATGGACTTTTTGAAAGAATAACAACTATTCCCGAGTCATTCTTTTTCAAAATATAGTCTTAAGCAAGATAAATACAAGGAGATTTGAATTCCTAATAAAGGAATATCTTGAGTATATTCTCCTATTTGATAATATTTGCAACACAATAGTCTTTTCCAAGACTCAACTCATAATAAAAAATGAATTCTCATCAAAGTATATTTTAGGTACTAAAGGATCCATTTACAAAAATCAATTTAAAAATGCATTTGGTAAAAAATGATGAAATATCTAAAATATAACAAGCATTTGATAAAGATTCTGTACAGAATAATTTAAAATATAACGTTCAGAATTGTATCACTATTCATTTTAGGTAGTTAAGATTTCTAGGTCACATCATCTCTAGCTGTTACAGAAATGCAAATTAAATCAAGGCTAAGATTCCATCTCACTCTGGAAAGAATGGCAATCATTATGAAATCAAACAATAACAAATGCTGGTGAGACTGTGGTGAAAAAGGTACCCTGCATCGTTGTGGGTGGGAATGTAAACTAGTACAACCATTATGGAAATCAGCATGGAGATTCCTCAAAGAACTGAAGTTAGAAATTCCATGTGACCCAGCGATCCCACTGCTAGGTCTCTTCCCCAAAGAGCTTAAGTCCTCATGCTACACTGACAACATACAAACCAATGTTTATAGCAGCACAACTCGTAATTGATAAATCTTGGAAGCAGCCTGTACACCCAACAACAGGTGACTGGATAAAGAAATGTGGTATTTATATATAATGGAATACTATTTTGCTATAAAGAATGACAGATTTGAGACATTTGCAAAAAAAATGAACACACCTGAAAAATACAATGTTGAGTGAAATAAACCAGACACAAAGGCTTAAATACCGCACAGTATCTCTGGTTTGAATGAGCCAAAGTGTAAACAAAGAGAAAAATGAAGGATGGACAGAGGGGACCAGGAAATGGATCTCTTGGTAATAGGGAAGTGGTCCAAAAAAGTGCCACTGATGAGGAGGAGGGAGGGGGAGATGAGCAGAACAAAGACATGCCATTTATAGGAACCTAGTAACCTCAATTAAGGGAAAATAATGGAGACATTATATGCCATTACAGGAGCTAAGATTAATAATATCAACAGGAATAAAAAGTGGGATGGGGAACTGGAGGTGGGAGGGAGGGAAAGAGAATAGGAAGGGGATTTTAAAAAAGGCTGTGCAAAGACCTCTACACTGAGAAGTACAGCACTGTGAAAAAGGAGGTCGAAGAGGACATCAGCAAATGGAGAGACAGCCCCTGCTCCTGGGTAGGAAGAACCAACATAGTGAAAATAGCCATACTTCCAAAACTGCTACATAGATTCAATGCAATCCCAATTGAAATCCCAGCAGCATAATTCAGACATGGAGAAAACCCAAAAATTCATTTGGAATAAGAAGAGACCTAGAATAGCAAAAGCAATTCTAGGTAACAGAGACATGGCAGGGGGCATCACAACCCCCAACTTGAAGCTATACTACAAAGCTACTGTGATAAAAACAGCATGGTACTGGCAAAGAAACAGACCCAAGGATCAGTGGAACAGATTAGAAGATGCAGAAACAACTCCAGACATACTCAGCCACCTCATCTTCAACAAAGGAGCCAAACACCCTCACTGGAGGAAAGATATCCTCTTTAATAAATGGTGTTGGGAAAACTGGATTTCAACTTGCCAAAGATTAAAACTAGACCTCTATCTCTCAGCATGCACTAAACTAAAATCAAAGTGGATTGAAGATCTAAATATTAAAACAGAAACACTAAACTTGGTGGAAGACAAGTTAGGTAGAACTCTTGAAGACACTGGCATAGGAAAACACTATGAACAAAACCTCAGTAGCATGGGAACTAGCACACAGAATCAACAACTGGAATCTCCTCATATTAAAAAGCTTCTGCACTGGGCCATGGTTTCGCAGCCTGCTATGAAAGCACAAGGATCCGAGTTCATTCCCCAGTACCAAAAAAAAAGCTTCTGCACTGCAAGAGAAACCACCAACAGAGCTAAGAGACAACATACAATGTGGGAAAAAATTTTTATCATCTGTTCCTCAAAGGTCTACTATCTAGAATATATAAAGAACTCAAAAAAAAAATCAGACCCCTCCCCCAAATATAAAGACCCAATTCAAAAACGGGCATCTGAAATGAACAGATATTTCTCAGACAAGGAAAAGCAGCAAATAAACATATGAAAAAGTGTTCAATATCACTGGCCATTCGAGAGATGCAAAAGAGAACAACACTGAGATTCCACCTCACCCCAGAACAAATGGCTGCTATCAATAAATCAACCAATAACAAATGCTGGCAGGGGTGTGGGGAAAGAGGAACCCTCCTCCACTGCTGGTGGGAGTGCAGACTGCTGCGACACTATGGAAATAAGTGTGGAGATACCTCAAAGAACTAGGACTGAAAAAGAAAAAAAAAAAAGAACTAGGACTGGAAGTCCCATTTGACCCAGCTATTCCCCTGCTGGGTATCTTCGCCAAAGAATTAAAAGAATCATACCACAGTGATATATGTGCACCCATGTTCAGAGCACAATTCGTGATAGCTAAAACTTGGAAACAGCCCAATTGCCCAACTGGAGGCTGGATAAAGAAGATGTGGTTTTTTTATAAAATGGAGTACTACTGAGCCATGAAGAATGAGAAACTAGAGACATTTATAGCTAACTGGATGCACATTGAGGCCATACTCTTAGTGAAATAAATAGGACACACATGTGTAAATACCGAACAGTTTCTCTGGTGTGAAAAACAAAGTGTAAATAAGGATAAAAATGTATAATTGATATTGTGAAATAGGAAGAAAAGGTCTAAAGGAGTAGGGGAAGTGGGAGGGGTAGGGGCAAGGAAAGAAGGGAAAAGAAAAAATATGAGCAACAAAAAAAATGGAAATAAAGTCTTTGTAAATAGGGAGGGGTGGAGGGGGTGAAGGGAGGGCAGGGGAAGGGGAAAAAATAAGAACCAAGATACATCATGTACAGGTACAAGATCCCAATGATGAATGTAACTGTATTGTATACCTAAAATGTACCGATAAACTTAATTTTAAAAAAAGCTGTAACCACTCCCCAAGAAGACTGTAAACTGCATGATTCCAAACACGTACTAAAAAAGCAAAAACTTCAAAAAAAACTTCTAGGTCACTAAATCCTACCATTCTCAGATGCTTAAACAAGTATGTCAACACCTTTGTTTCTTCGTTGTTGTTTTGGTTTGGTTTTTGGTTTTTGGAAACAGGGTCTCACTGTGTAATTGAGGCTGGCCTCAAACTCCCAGTGCTTCTCCTGCCCCAGCCTCCAGAGTGCTGAGACTATAGGCATGAGCCACCATGCCCAGCAATACCATGTGTCTTGGAACAAGGCTATATGACTATTAAGATTATAATTTCTCGGTACGGTGTTACTTTGGTTTGTGATTCATTTTAACATAAATCTAGATCATGCATTGTTTAAGAAATTTAAGGCTCTTCCAACCGTGCCCTGCAGTGGTGGGGATGGAACCCAGGCTCTTCATTAGGCTTGGCAAATCCTCTCTACCAGTGAGTTACACCTCCCATCCAAACACGTTCTTAATACTGTGAACGTGAAATTAAACTTCAGCAACATAGAATTAGTTCACTGTACTCTGAAATGGTCTCTACCTTTTGGTAATAACTTTAAAACAAGCTGGGGTTTGGGGGGCTGTTAGTAGCAAGTGTTTATGTCTGCTATTTGGGATCCCTTTACTTTGAACTTTATGCAGTACATCTCACATGCCAAATGGAATTGGGCCATTTTAAACTAAACTCACATTGATTAGAAGCTCTGAACTTTGAGATAACAACCTCTGACTTACAAGGACAGTGAGGTCACCAACAGTCAACTCTTCCACTAAAGCCTAATTATACAAATGGTCAAACTAAGATTTAAATCAACTTTATTTCTAATAATATTTGTTTTAAACAATTTGTATTTTTAAGAGTATTTTAACTTGCTCATTTATTTTAATTGTTTCAAGCAAATCTAAATAGGGAATTAGGACAAGTAATAATAACCTCACTTTAACAGTAAGGAAATGTGACAAGTGGCTAAATTACCCATCCAGCTTCAACCTCTTCACACTTAGAGCAGGACAAGATTTGGCCCCTTATTATATCTGTCCTGGTAGTCTTTACATTCTGTTGTGGATGTCAGCTTTTTACTATCTCTACGAAATCACCATAGGTACGAACTACTAAATGTCTGTATTGTACAGTATTTAAAAAAAAAATTAACACTGTGACAACACAATTGTGTCATGAATACTTAATGATATAACTTCTCAATTATGCATGAAGAAATTACCTCCTCTGTGAACTATCCATATTTAATGTTTAATCCCAGGTTGGTTACCTTGACTCTATAGGGACACACCCTATGAAAATACCGACAAACACCATACTTAGCAAAAAACAGGGAAGAAAATGAAACCAAACCAAACACACTGAGCCCCACAAGGACTCACACATCATCTTTAAGATCAGGCTGTAGGAAGTTCTTCCCAAAGAGGCTGGAAATCCTAAGTTTTAAGGAACAAAAGGCTCCAGGCTGTAAGTCCTACAGCTGAAATTAAGGATTCCTCACTTATGAAACAGTACTAGAAATCTGTCTTGGCCATGATACAGGGTTACAGGGAGAGTGATGCAGACAGCACAGGCATCAGCTCGTCCCAGGACATTCTGTCTTCAAGCATCCTTTTGTGTCAGCACTCAAAAACTAAGGAAAAGTGCTCAATTGTGATAATGATTCAGTGGATTTTTCGATTCAGAAACTACTTTTAAAAATTTGGGCTCTTGCTGGGTGTGGTGGCACACACCTGTAGTCCCAGCACTCGGGAGGCTGGGGCAGGAGGATTGCTGTGCGTTTGAGGTCAGCCTGGGCTACATAGCGAGACCCTGCCCCCCAAAAATAAATATAAAAAAATTAAATTAAATTTGGCTTCTTTTTCAGTGCTCTTGGTCAAAATTTCTAAAAATTATTGACTTGATACTGACTGTTAGTATCTCTTGCTTATTAGCTCAACCAGATTCAAACTAAGCCTGGGAAACGGGTGACAAAAACCCATAACCAACTGATGAATTCCGGCCACCCAGGAGATTTAAACACCCAAGATGCACAGCCCACACTTATTAATACCAGACCTGCATACTTCAGCTGTTGGTTTTAAAACAAACACTGGAAACACAGCACATGATATTTGGAAATTAAAAGAAAAAAGAGGACCTGGATCTTTATTGATGCTGGGAACGGCCCTGACTGAAGGCTGACCTCAAGCAGCACTTCTTAAATTATATTTTCTTTATTTGACTTTCTGGTTACTGAAGAAAGCATACTTACGGAGTAAATTTCTTTTATAACTCCCTATGCACACATAAATATTTAAAATGCTAAAAAAAAGAGCAGGCATTTTGATATACAAATTTTAAATTAATTCCCAATTAGTTATCAGTTTCTATGTTGAGACAAGAATTGTGCCGTTGATTTTGCTTCAAGTGTACACCTCACTATCATCACTGTTGGTCAATGAGAGGGAGGGAGGGATTTTTTAATCCCAAATTCATTCTCCTAATAGTTGATGACATGCATAGCAACATATCAGCTGATGGTGATTTTCATCCACTTTTGAAGTAAATGAACCTTCTTGATTTTCCCTTTCTTTCCCTCATGAAAATGAACACTGTTCACAAGTTCTTTGTCTGAGGAAGCCAGTTCACAATTTTTTTTTTTCGATTTTTTTGGTACTGGGGATCGAACTCGGGACCTTACACTTGCGAAGCAGGAGGCAGAACCACTGAGCTAAATCCCCAGCCCAGAGTTCACAATTTTAATGAGACCAGAGTGTTCAGGATTCAGTTTGAAATGACATTTAGGGTCTTCTGAGTTGAGCTTAACAAGTTTTACTCTATCTGTATCCATACTAACCAGCCATACTAACTGAAAGCTTTTCCAAGTTAGTCATAAAGGGAAGCACTCATTACCTCTAAAATGAGGGCCTGTAATAAGAAGATGCACATTCTGCAATAGCTGCCAGGCCAAATGAATGTTTTTAACATTCTGAATGCATCATAACCCCACTAACTGTTAGCAATAAAGCCTTAGGAAGAAGTCCTCTGATGGAAAAACTAAGAATGAAAATACTTCATTGAAAATTTAAACTAAGATTTGAGATTATATCAGTGAATAGTAATAAAATATGAAAATTAGTATTTTAAAATGTATTACCTGATCAAGAATTCTTCCCATTCTGTCAAATAAAACTTTCAAAAAATGACCTTCAAAGAAAGCTGCTTCTAAATTGCACTTTTCCAATGCTTTTGGAGACCCAGGCCATTCCCATCTTAAGCAGATAGCACAGTAGTCCCGGAACTAAGGGGAAAAAAAAGCATTTGTATCACCAAAGAACTACCAGAAAACAAATGAAGATAAAATAGAAATAATTTCCTCAAACAGGCATAAAGAACCACTTGAACGTAGGACGTCTTCTACGTGTGAGGAGCCACAGGAGAGGGGAGAGAGCTGGCTAAGCGCCTGGCAAGAGGGCCACAGGGAGGATCAGGATTGGCAGGAATGAGAATAAGGTGCCGGGGAAAAGAAGGAGTATTTTCACGTCACTGAAGTACTCGCTTTGGAGTCTGGACATGGCGGTGCACACCTAGGCCTGAGGCAGAAGGACCGCCCTGAGATCGAATGAGTCCAGCCTGCAATATACAGCGAGACCTTGTCTCCACAGAAAAGAAGGAAAAAAACTTCCCATTAAGCTGTGCTTATTCTCTTCCTTATCATTTTCATAACAGAGATGGAGCACATTTATAAAACAAAGACCTAGCCAAGTTCTCAAATGATCCCAATAGATGCATGCTGCTCATTTCTTGAGGAGGCTTGATGTTCCTAGGACGTACTTACCCTGGGCATGCTGCTGTGAGACGTTAGGAGTGCTGGTCAAAGATGGTCCACAGGCCAGCACCGGGCCTCAACCATCACCAGTGAGATGAGTGCAGAAAGAAAGAATAAGCATCTAGAACTTTCATAGCAATCTGAGTAACTGTATGTTTGCTGAATCTAACCCTAAAGCAACTGGGGCTTACATTTTGTCCTTTTCCTTCATTTTCCTAGTAATTCATTTTTATTTTATTTTACAAAAGTGTTAGTATATGACAGACTGGAAATAATAAAAACTATTTCTTCCGTAGAGATACTTATCACTGAAAAATGGATTTTTAAAAGCAAAAGAATATCTCATAATAAAAATGAATTTTAAAGGCTCAATATGTAATTTACTTAAAAGAAATTTAGAGAGGTATTTTCTTCCATCTTTTCCCTTTTCAGAATTTCCTCATTCAGTACAGCAAAATTTCCTTGACCTCTCTAGTTTGAAAATTACAGGAAATTAAAACAATATATTCTCACCATAAGCATTACTTTCAGCTTTAAAAAAATATGTTTAAAACAATTAAAAAGCCAACTTCAGGGCCTGAAATTTAGCTCAGTGGCACCACGCCTGCCTTGAAAGCTCAAGGTCCTGAGTTCGATACCCAGTACCAAAAAAAAAATTGGGATGTGACTTTATATAGATTGGTACCAGGGATCGAACTCAGGACCTTGAGCTTTCAAGGCAGGCGTGGTGCCACTGAGCTAAATCCCCAGCCCCCTAGTTTTTAATAAATTGTTTTAAATTTAACATTTTTGAAATTCTGACCTCTAAGTAATAGTTTTTAAAATTTCTATCCTGTCTGTTTTCTAACATTTCTGAAACAATCATAATTGTATTTATAATCAAAAAATGCCAATGAGGGAAATTTTACAAAAAAAAATAAGTAATTTAAAAGTTCAAATGGTAGTAATGACAGATTTTTTTTAAATTCTTACTTCCTTTACTGGGTTATTATGGTAATGTTACTTGCTATCTCATGACTCCAGTAATTCATGTATTAATGTAAGCTTTGAATTCAGGCTTAAAAGTATTATGAATTAACTAGATGCAATCCAAAGGATTTAAATAAAAATATAATACATATTTTTCTCATGCGAAAATTTTCAAAATTTATAAATTTCAAATTTTGGACTTCACTTTCCAATTCTGAAATAGTCTATTCCAGTTATTTATTCAAGAAATACTAGGTACTGATATTGCAAAATGTATAGAATCCTGAGCTACAGATTTTGTACAATTGTACGGCAACTCAAGCATGAATCCCACCCTCAAAAGACTGATTACTCCATAAGCCTAAAACAATAAAGATAACATAAAGGGTGCAAAAGATGTAGAGATAATGCCAGGGACAAAGGAAAGACCACTTAATAATTAAGAGCAGACGTCTGAGAATATAGTCCCAGTGAGGCAGAAAGGTAGATGGAGTGAGTGAGACAACACTGAATCACCATCTGCATGGATGCTAAGGGAGAGCTAGGGATGTACTTCAGAGGCAGAGCACCTGCCTAGCTCGGGGAAAGCCTGGAATTCAATCCTCAGTACTAAGAAAAGGAAGAAGGAAAAGAAGGGTGTGGGAGGAGGGAGAAAGGGCAATGGGCTGTGGACTGGGGGCAAGGCTAGGTGGTAGAATTACCAGGTACCACATTTTGGATCAGCAGAAGAAATGGATCCAGGTGAGATATAACTTAAGAGTGAAACAAGAAATATATGGAGCACAGAAAAATCTTGAGAGAGAGTTGCCCAGTGAAATGCAAACCAAGGTCACCCGCACAAGAGGAAACTAGTAACAACAGCTCAGGTCTCGGTTTTTTTAAAGAGTGAGGGCTCTTTTCTCTGCAGTCATGGCTGTGGACAATTAGGCAATATGACAAGAGGTTTGTGTCCATACACTCATAGATTTCATTTCCAAAAAGCAGTTACGTCACTTACCTGCCTATGAGCATCTCGGAGGTAGGTATCATATCCAGTGCCCTCAACATGGTAGGATGATTTTGCGTCATCCGGTACCAGACAAAGAAAACTTCCATGAAAAAGGACATCAGAGTCAATAACAGAAATAACTCTCATAATATCTTTATATCTATTGTATGTGATATCTTAAGTTTAGCTGAGCCTTAATACAAACAGAAACTTGAAAAATAAAATTATAGTTTACTGACTAAAAATTCTTCCACTATTTTAAAGGTTTTATTAAAAAGTATTGATTCCTACTCAGCCATAAAAAATGAGAAATTAGAGACATTTATAGCTAAGTGGATGCACATTGAGGAGATACTCTTAAGTGAAATAAATAGGACACA